TGTATGTATTTATTTATTTATTTATTTATTTATTTATTTATTTATTTATTTATTTATTTATTTATTTATTTATGTATACAGTATGTATGACTGCAGACCAGAAGAGGGCACCAGATCTCATCACAGATGGTTGTGAGCCACCATGTGGTTGCTGGGAATTGAACTCAGGACCTCTGGAAGAGCAATCAGTGCTCTTATCTTCTGAGCCATCTCTCCAGCCCCCTCTCTACTATCTTATAACACGGAGACTCCCGTATCTTGTTTGTTTTGGGACAAAACATCAAATTGTTAGCATCAAACTCACTCAGTTCTCTGGCCTCAGTCTCCCAAGTGCTGGCATTATAGGTAGGAGTCCTTCCCCCATCTTTCCCTTGGTGTCATACTTCAATGGGCACCAGATATATCTTTCTCATTTTTCATTTTGTTTTGAAACAAAACTATGTAGCCCCGACTGGTCTGGAACTCATTATGTAGACCAGGCTGGCCTCAAACTAATAGAGATCCACCTGCAAATACCCCTCGAGCGCGTGGATCAAAGGTGTGCGCCACCACGCCCAGGTATGCACAGGTCTCCCTGTGGCTTTTCCATCCCCCTCTTTGATTTCTTGGAAGTTACTACTTACCGCCGGAGCCAAAGGCTGTCTCCGTTCCCATCTGGGAAGCCACGCCATCGGAAACGCCTGTCTCTGTTCATGTGTTCTCAGCAAGTGTCAAGACACCAAAGGGAGCTTTCCAATTCTGTTGATGGACGTAACCTAAAGTCCCAAACACTGGTTTCTATCTGTTTCCCAAGCTGGCTCTATGTGGAACCAGCCTCAGCATCCTTTTCTTTAGTACAATGCTTGGCGGGTCAGAGCTTTCCCTGCCTTCTCCACCAGCGCTTTTGAACTTCGCGGTCAAGAAGCCTGTGGCTCTCTAGGCTGTTGAGATGATGAAGCCTGTAAAGGGGCCTGCTGCAGAGCCTGACCGCCAGAGTTTGATCCCCGGGTCCCATGTGGTGGAAGGGCTCGACATGAGAGTCACGGACGGCATGTGCACCCATCCCAATGTGAGCGCGCACACACACACCAACACACACCAACACACACACACACACACACATACCAACATAACACACCCCAACACACACACACCAACAAACACCCCCCAAACACACACAGACACACTCTCTCACACACACACCAACACACACACACCCCAACACACACACACCCCAACACACACACACACACACACACACACACACACACTACAATTTTAGATAAAGAAGAGGTTCTTGCTGGACGGTAGTGGTGCATGTCTTTAATCCCAGTACTCAGGAGGCAGAGGCAGGTGGATCTCTGAGTTCAAGGCCAGCCTGGTCTACAGAGTGAGTTCCAGGACAGCTAGGGCTACACAGAGAAACCCTGTCTTGGAAAACAAAATGAAACAAAAACAAACAAACAAACAAAAAGAGGTTCTTGGCTCCACATTTAACTTCTTGGTCCTGGTCCTGGTGTTCCCGCTCTCAGAACACCGTGAGTCTTTCTCTGTTAATGATTGCATTAGCCTGGTCTCACGTAGATGCGGCACAGCCTCCAGCCCATCTGTCTGACGAATGCTGTTTAACATCAAGGCACAATGGCCCATAATAAGGGAGAATGTGACATTTTTTCCCTCTCATTTTGCAGCCTGAGATGTGCATGTGTTCCCTGGTGTTTTTCATACGGCCACCGTATCCGTGACAATCGACACGGACCGTTATTAAACACTGCCCACGAATCCAGGATCCAGAGGCCATTTCCTTTGGGAGGTTGCTGGGACCAGGTGACGTTTCCTGATGTTGACTGTAGGCTGCTGTGTGACAGGGACGATTTGATACTTAGCTGCGTCCACGCTCCAGATGTCAGGTAGAAATCCCCACGTGAATTACAACAACCCTCCCCACAGCCCCGTTTAAGAGGCGGGTCCACCCTTCTTCAGGTTTTGTCTCAGGGGTACCCATAATCCCAGCACTGAGGAGGATGAGCCTGAAAGACTGGAAATTCGTGGCTGGAGA